AGTATTGAACAACTGGATGCCAAGGGATTTTGTATCAGATTTCAGTAAAGATATCAGAGCGAGCATCAGCTCACACGTTACCCAAACCTCCAACGATGTGTATGTATATATATATAATTATTATATATATAAAATGATCTGAGAAACGTCTTTAATCGTCTCTCGCTGCAGGAAGATAATGAAATCAGCAATGACAACCGACTCACAATGACTTACCAAACACACCAATGAAGGTGAAAATGGGATAAAAAATATATTTAACAATGAAAATCGCTTCTTTTCTTAACATGTTTGCGAGCGGCGACGTTGGAAGATTGTCTGCGACTGAGAGTGAGCTTTCCCGGGTACCGAACTTATAGAGCAGAGAGACACCTCAGGGGACCAGAGCAGGAATACCCACTGCTATTAGTTACAGTTCGGAGGAGAACAACAACAACAACAACAACTTGCATTTACACCACCCGCTTCCCACTGATCGGCGTCTCAGAACATTTAACAGTGTCGATGCCGAGCCAAGGGAGGGGGAAGGTGACCAGAGGCACGGTCGAAGAGGAAGGTCTTTAAACATAACCTGTAAATGAGAGAGAGGGCACAAGGCGAGGGATGGAGGGCGAGAGGTTTACAGTTAAGGGGCATATCGGCTGAAAGCGCCGCTGCTGACGGTGGGGGCGGAGGGACCAGGGGACAAGGAGGAGGTTGGAGCCAGTCGATCCGAGGCAGAGGGAAGTGGTGTGGGGAGACAGCTGGTTGGAGAGATAAGTGGGTGCCAGGGCAAACACATGGAAAGAATACACAATAATAATCCTTGCATTTGATATAGCGCCTTATCACCTCTTCAAGACGTCTCAAAGCGCTTCACAGAATATACTGTAAACTGAATTGACAATATTTTGTGGGCGAAACGTGTATTGCGCACAGCAGCGTCCCCACAAACAGCCGTGGATTGAGTGACTAAATTATTATTTTATTTCGAAGGGATTATTACCACTGGAAAGTGATCTGCCAATTGACTAACAACCTAACAGCCTAATTACTGCTGTGGAAACATCGGAGCGGAGAGTGAGGAAACTTTCCGAAGGTTTCTAGGAGTTAAGTGGGGTCCACTCAGAGGTGAAGTGGGAGCACACACTCCCCCTATATCTCTCTCCCTCTCTCTCACTCTCTCTCTCACACACACACTCTCCCTCTCCCGCCGGGTATTGAACCCAAGTCCTCTCGCTCGTGAGACGAGTGCTCTAACTGCTGAGCAACAGGACATTACACACAGTAGATACTACTTTCCAGAAAGACTGGGCAGGTGGAAGGTTGAAGATGAAGCAGGTGTTAAGCTCCCACTTCAACCCTGAGAAGACTCCACTTACCTCCCCCTCCCACCCATTAGATCTGCAGCAACAATAGCAGATGTCAGTGCACCCCTCTCCCCCACGTCATCGTTCCCTGGTGAGACTCACACTGTTCAATTCCTTTGGGGCAATTGGAATCACTATTATGGGAACATGTGGCAACTCTCCTGCTTTCCCCACTTTTCCCCTTTTGGGAATTGGAACCCCAGGTACTAAGTGTTATTGCAATCTTCCCATCAGGAGGATACCTCAGAGCGACACCAGGAAGTGTAGGGAACTGTGTTTCGCAAGCGAGCGCAACTGTAAGGTTATATTTGTGATGTTTTTAAAGCTTTTAATTAATTATTACGTACGTTTAGAATGTAACTACCCACAATCCTACCCACAATGACATTACATTGCTCTTTTCAAAGAGCCGGCACAAACCCGATGGGCCGAATGGCCTCTTTTTGTACCTTACGATTCTGTGAATCCTGTAGCTCAGTGGTTAGAGCACTCGCCAGGAGGGCGAAACCTTGGGCAAGTTTCCTTACCCCACACCCCAAATAATAACCCTTCTAGAAAATAATAGTTTGGTCATTTGCAATCCACGACTGCTTGTGGGACGCTGCTTTGTGCAATTGGCCGCCGCGTTTCGCTCACAAATATACGGTCAATTCACTTCATGGCATATTCTGTGAAGCGCTTTGAGACGTCGAGAAGACGTGAAAAGCGTCATATCAACTGCAAGGATTATTATTGTTAATATATATACACAATTTCAGTTATGAAGCGGATCACAACAAGTCTACCTATATCAAATGCAAGGATTATTATTATATTAATCCTTAAATAAGCTTGCTTTGATTTAATGACTAGTTTAGCAGGGATTAAAAGTAGCTTCGCTGGACTGGTTAAGGTCAGCTTCTTATTAATTTATTAACTCTTATTAATTCTTGTTAAACCTGTATGCTGATGCGATAAGATAATATCATCATTAATCCGGAGACTGTCACTGCTTGGGCGTTAATAAAGACCTTTTCTTTGAATCTTTGTGTCGACTCCCAATGAGTAAACTGGGGCTCGGCAAACCTTGCACAACGCAACAGCCAATTTGCTTTAAACAGTCGAGCATTGCATGTCTCCGTAAAGATTCCACGTGTCCAGTTGGTTGTCTTGTGATGGCCAGTTGGGTTGTCGGTTTGTGGCCCTGCCTCTGTGATTGTGGGTGAAAGCCCCACATGGGAACCTTGGACACACAATGTCCTGTAGTTCGGTGGTTAGAGCACTCGCCTCACAAGCGAGAACCTGGGTTACCCCGCACTAAAAAAACATTTGACATCACACCAGGCTTAACTGGCTCCCTATTGCCGAACAGATCAATTTCGGGATCCTCACATTCATTTCCAAATCATTTCACGCCCTGGAACCTCCCTGCCTTAAATGGAAAGGGATTCAGACTAAAGTCACGTACCAATATGCAAGGACAGTATTGTGTGCACCCGAGAGACACGTTACACCTATGACGGAAAGTTAATTTGTTTGCCGAAACCAAGCTTTTGAGTCACACCCTTACATTTCAGACAGAATCCATAAAATTGCTCCTGTCCCAATTTTTCCTACTTATTTTCCTACTCAAATACAAAATATACGGTCTGAAGAACAATTGCCGTAAAAGATTTCATACCAAACTTCAGATTTCCACTCTGACTGCTGGCGTTGACTTCAACTCAATTGAGGAGTTGATGAGTATCTCCAAAGAAAAGTGGAGCAAAAGGTTGAAGAAATATTAACTAACGCTGTTTACAACAATAACCCTAAGTCTGGCCTTTGACCAAGAACCGTTCCCGTTCAGTCACCAGAGCCATTTTTCACTTTATCTGGAGATCCGTTATGGATGGTGTCTGCAGAGCCACAAGACTCCAGATATAGGGCGGGGAGGGAAGGGAGTCCCAGATATAGCCTGGATTCTCATGGCCACTGTCATGTGCAGCTGTGTGAGGAGATGCCTGGATGTGGGCTATATGTATGGTTCTGGGTACGTGTTGGGCTTCTAACTGTATCCAGGGTTAAGAAGGATGGGGCTGGCAACATACCTTCGGGTTGGAGTGTCCCGAGGTATTTAGCCAAAATAGAAAGATCCCTGTCCAAGAACACTGTAGATCTCCATAGGATCAGCCAGAGTCAGCGCAGGAGGGCGACTGACAGCCAGACTTGAGAGAATATCTGGTCACTGAACCTATCCAACAAACACCAGGACGTGGCCTGGATGACAGTCAAAGGAGCCCCCCCACCACACCCCAGGGGTGTTTATGCTCAAGAGCGGCTTGGGCCTGATTACACGCTGCCCTCGGGAGAGTTGCTGAAGTGAGGAGAGTGTGGAGCACCGCTTCCTGCCGGGCACATACGCCAAGGAGGGGCGGGAAAGGACACCGGTTTTGGCCCCGGGAAGTCCGCGCTCTCGCGGCAGCCCGTGCTGTACGGTCTCTTCCTGGGGATGCACAGAGAGACCGACTGCGCTGGAGGTTCATCGACTCGGTGATGGAAGGGAAGCCCTTTTGGGGCCTCCCCCAAACCGGGATGGTCTCCGGGCACGGAGACGGGTCGGCAAAGGCTGCTGCAGCCGAGAACAGGCCAGAGAGAGAGAGAGAGAGAGAGTCAGTGGTGGGGGGGTGGGTGGGAGGGGGGTTGGAAAAAGACTCTCCTGTAAAAGGAGGGAGAAACGGATTGGGAGTGGTGACCTGCCATCCGGGAAGGGAAGGAAGTCAGCGCTGGGAATAGCCCAAAGTTCTGGTCCCTGTAAATAAAGGTGGCAGAATACAAGGGGTGGGGGGGGGGGGGTGGGGGGGGTGGGGGGGGGGGCGGGGGTTAGGTTGAGGCTGTTAGGGTTCGGGTGGTCCCTGTAAAGCGAATTGAGTGCACATTTGTGGGCGAAACACGGCAGCCAATTGCGCACAGCGGCGTCTCCCGCACCAACAGTTATTTTATTGTGTTTATTTTAATCGGAATTATTTCAGTCACGGTACAATAAAAGAATACCGCCGTTATTTTAACGATTTAATCGCTTTCGATTCCTTTCTCTTTTCAAATGAACCAACTACTCGGGGAACAAAAGGGCAGAGCCGTCTGCGACCTGTCACAGTTTTCAAAGGCGTTTTTTTTGGGTTCGTTTTCGCACCCGCGTTTCTGCGAAGGGGTTCGTTTTGATGTGAATATCATGACGGGGAAAGTTGAGTACATTGTTTTTAATATATAGACACCAAACAAATATGTATTTGTTCCCCAAAAAAAGTTGAGCTGGAATAAAAGAGGGTTCTACACATTGTTTGTTGAGAACATAACAGACTCCCCCCACCCACCCCCCCACCACCACTCTCACACCTCTCAAGCCCCACGTTCTCACCGCTATTCCCCGCCCGTCCGCCCCAACTCCTCACCACCCGCCACCGCAAAGTAGAGCAATTGTTTGTGCAACAGGGTGTTGATGAAGAGCGACAACCCCAAGTCTTTCCGCTCTCTCTCTCTCTCTCTTTCTTTCTTTCTCTTAGCCCGTCTCTCTCTCAATCAGTCACTCTCTCTTTTTCTCCAAGCGTCTCTCACTTTCTCTCCGTCTCTCCGTCTCTCGCCGTCGCTCATTCTTTCTCTCTGCCCCTCACTTAGTCAGTCAGTCCGTCTCTCTCTCTCTCGCTCTCTCTCTCTCAGTCTCTCTGCCATCTGTCTCTGCTCATTACCCCCCTCGAGCCGCAACTCGTTTCAGACGTGTTGACCAGGTCTGACTCACTGCATTTGAACTTCCTGTTGCTCTGCTTCCTTCAAGGGTACAGGAAATTCGGAAAAAAACTCTCAAATAATCCTCAAGTAAGTGTTTGATTCTTTCTCCAACGTTTGACCGGCGGACGTGCGGATGGTAAGTGTGGAAGGAACTTTACTGTGTCTCTCACCCTGACCTGGGAGTGTGGAATCGTAGAATTGCAGAATTCTACAGCACACTCGGCCCATCCCGTCTGTGCAGGTTATTTAAAAAGAACTATCTAAATCAACCCCACTCCCCCGCGCTCCCCCCATAGCCCTAATAAACCCCACTCCCCCGCGCTCCCCCATAACCCCTAATAAACCCCACTCCCCCGCGCTCTCCCCATAACCCCTAATAAACCCCACTCCCCCGCGCTCCCCCCATAGCCCTAATAAACCCCACTCCCCCGCGCTCCCCCCATAACCCCTAATAAACCCCACTCCCCCGCGCTCCCCCCATAAACCCTAATAAACCCCACTCCCCCGCGCTCCCCCCATAGCCCTAATAAACCCCACTCCCTCCCTATAGCCCTAATAAGCCCCACTCCCCCCCATAGCCCTAATAAACCCCACTCCCCCACTCTCTCCCATAGCCCTGATCAACCCCACTCCCCACTCTCTCCCCATAGCCCTGATCAACCCCACTCCCCCGCTCTCTCCCCATAGCCCTGCAAATAATTATCTACTTCTCTCTTAAAAGTTCCCACCAGCCTTTCAGGCAATGCATTCCTTAACCTAACAACTCGCTGTGTGAACAAATTTCTCCTCCACTCGCCTCCGTTTCTTTTAACAGCTATTTTAAATCGGTGTCCTCGGATTACCAACCCAGACCCCCGCCAATGGGAATAGTTTCCTCACTCCCTTCGCCTCACCCCCCTCTCATCCTATTTTCAGGTCTGGGCTGAAGACCATTCTTTTCGACCGCGCCTTTGGTCACCTTTCCCCCCCTCCCCCCGGCTCGGCCCCGGGATCCCTTACTGTGAAGCGCTCTGAGATGCCGTCCGGCGCGGAGGTCGCTATATAAATCGAAGTTGTTGTTGTTGTTTCTCCTTGTTCACCCTATCGAATCCCATTCTATTCGATATATTAAACTTCTATTAAGCTCCTCTTAACCTTCACTGCTCCAAGGAGAATAATCCCGGTTTCTCTCGCCTCTCCTGATAACTGAAGTCCCTCATTCCTGGTACCATCCTGGTCAATCTCCATCGCACCCTCTCCAATGCTTTGACATCCTTCCTAAAGTGTGGAGCCCAGAACTCAACACCGTCTCTCGCTGAGGCCTAACCAGTGTTTTATAAATACTGGTTATAAAACTGATTTTATGGACGGACAGCCGTAGAGGGAGCTTTACTGTGTCTCTAGCCCTGACCTGGGAGTGTGGACGCACAGTCTATGGATACTTCGGGTGTCAGGGAATGGATTGAGGTGTGAGAGGGAGATAGTTGAGACGTTTTGCTGTCAAGTGATGGATTGACGATGTTTGTGGTGTGTTTGGGTTGCAGTGAGGATGGAGTGGATATTTGGATGGACGCTGGCGTTGACCTGTTTCCAGCTGACTGAGGGAGAAGTGGTGGCCACATTCCAGGGGAGATGCGAGGGCTTTTTCCGTGGAGGGAAAGAACCTGCTGGGTTTAGGAACGAGGCAACACTACAGATCTGCCAGCAGTACAAGGGCAGAGCACGTTTTGCTACCCTTTACAATTCCAACCTGCGTCTCCCTGTCTACTCTGCCTACCTCCTCCATCCTCATGGTATGAGCGCCAGAGAGGATTCGTGGCTCATCGAACCCCAGGTCAGTCTCTCTCTCTCTCTCTCTCCCTCCATCTCTTCCCCTCTACTCTCTTGACTCTCTTCTTAGTACGTGAGCCAGTCCGGCTCAGTCGCCGTGCGTCAAACCTGGCTCAACTCCTGGCTCAGTCGCAGAATCCTAGAACTGTACAGCACAGAAGGAGGTCATTCGGCCCATCGTGTCTGTGCTGACTCTTTGAAAAGAGCTTCCAATTCTATCCTACTCCCCCACTCTCTCCCCATAGCCCTGCAAACCGGTCCTTCCCAAATAATTATCTACTGAGGTCTAACCAGTGTTTTATAAAGGCTCATCGTAACTTCCTGACTTTTGTATTCTACGGCCCTATTTATAGTCCGTCGCTGTACGTCTTGAATGACACGATAGGCTGATATATCAAATGCAAGAATTATGACCATTATTTTTGGAGAGAACAAGATAGACTGCGACAGAGAGAGAGTGTGTGTGTGATAGAGAGAATTAGAAATACTGAGAGAGAGAGAGAGAGAGAGAGAGAGAGAGAAAATGAAACAGATCGGAAAAGGGAACGTGAGAGAACGAAACAGACTGCAACAGAGAGGACGGAAAATACTGCTGATGCTTTGAGACGTCTCGAAGACGTGATAAGGCAATATATCAAATGCAAGACATTATTATTATTATTATTATTATTATTATTATTATAATCTCGCTCAGTCTCTTTCTCTCAGTCTCTATATCCGATTCTCTCAGTCTCTCTCTCTCTCTCTCTCTCTCTCTCTCACTTACTGCCTCTCAGTCTCCCTCTGTTTCTGCCTGTGGTTCTCTCAGGCTCTCTCTCACTCTCTTGCTCTTCGTATTATTATTATTATCAATAAATATTGCTGCGTTTTCCCACAAATAGTCACTACACTTTACAGTATAGTCCGTGAAGCGCTTTGAGACAAATATTATTATTATTATTCATTAATCTGAGCCGCTGCAGGACTCCTCACCTCTCTTCTCTCCTCTCGCTCGCTCACTCTCCACGTCCCACTCCAATGCCTTCCTCGCTGCTCTCACCAGCTCCACTCCCGACAAATAATAATAATCCTTCCGTTGGATGTCGCGCCCCTATCACGTCTTCGAGACGTCTCAATGCGCTTCACAGGATACACTGTAAAGTGAATTGACTGTGTGTACGTGGAGTTCTATAGCTCAATGGTTGGAGCACTTGTGCAAGAGGACTTGCGCATGATTCCCGGCAAAATGTTGGGCAAATTACCGTAACCCATCACCCCAGTCCTCGCCAGGTTCCACTGGCTCCCTATTGCACACTATACTCTGTACCCCCATCACCCCAGTCCTCTCTCACACTCGCTCTCTCACACACTCACGCTCTCTCACACACTCGTGCTCTCTCACACACTCGCTCTCTCTCACACACTCGCGCTCTCTCACACACTCGCGCTCTCTCTCACACGCTCGCGCTCTCTCTCACACACTCGCTCTCTCTCACACACTCGCGCTCTCTCTCACACACGCACACACTCGCGCTCTCTCTCACACACTCGCGCTCTCTCACACACTCGCGCTCTCTCACACACTCGCGCTCTCTCACACACACTCGCACTCTCTCTCACACACTCGCGCTCTCTCACACACTCGCTCTCACTTCACTGTCTCTATACAAGTACAAGTTGCTGTTTCCGACCAGATCACAAACCGCAGTTGGCCGGCTGACATGCAGACGCCTGGTCAACTGAGCCGGGAAATCAGACAGAGTTCCCGGACGGTGAAGGCCAGACTGGGAAAGTCTCAGGCTCTGGAGGAGGATTACAAAGGAGATCCCTACGACCGGGGACACCTGAACCCCGTGGCCCACCAGGCGGGAACCAACCGTGAGGCCACCTTCACCCTCACCAACGTGGCGCCCATGCACCGAACCCTGAACCGCGGGTCATGGCGTGTGTGCGAGGAGCAGCTGAGGGACTTGTCCTCTTCTCTCTGCCCCCCCGGGGTACCCGTCTACGTCCTGACCGGGACCTCCCCGCCTTTCTTGGGGAAGATCCCGGTGACGAGCCCTGGGCGGGTGTCCGTGCCCCGCTACGTGTGGTCTTCCCTCTTCTGCAAACTCAACGCGTCCTCCTCGTTCTCTCTGGCCCACGTCGGAGACAACGAGCTTCACACCGTATCGAGCATGAAGGTCTCTGAGCTCGAGACGTTGCTGGCTCTCCACTACGGACGGCGTATCTCACTCTACCCCAACTCAGCTCCGAGCTGGAGCCCACATTGGTTCCTTCCTCTTCTCCTTAATCTTCTAGTGAATCAATAATGACTGACTCCCCCAAGTCTCTCTCCCTCTCCCTCTCACACCCACTCCACCCTCTGACTCTCTCTCTCTCCCTCTCACCCTCACTCCATCCTCTGACTTGAAGGAGTGTGGGGACAGGACAGGGCATTGGGGCTGAACCGACAACTCACTCTGAGAGCTGGAGCAAACTCCATGGGCCGAATGGCCTCCTTCCAACCTGGACATTTCTGCTATTCCACAGAAAGCATAGAATTAAAATCTTTACGCAGCAGAGTTTCAGATATTCTGAAGTTGGGGCCACGGTCACTCATCAGATGGACTTGTTGTGATCCGCTTCATAACTGAAATTGTGTATATATATTAACAATAATAATCCTTGCAGTTGATATGACGCTTTTCACGTCTTCTCGATGTCTCAAAGCCCTTCACAGAATATGCTGTAACATGAATTGACCGTGTGTTTGCGGGCGAAAGGCAGCAGACAATTGACACACTCGGTGGCGTTACGTGAGATAATAGAAATATTCGGTTTTCCTTGCAACTTGGCATAAAGTTTCTGCGCTCGACAATGTGCGGCGCCTCAGAGAATATAAATGGGTGTGTGGTATCAGCTCCGAGGAGGGGCGAGAGAACTACACTGAACCTTATTTATTGCAGCTGAAGACTGTCGAAGATCTTTTTAGTAACAATTGTGCAGTTTTATCTGATTGTGACCTCCATGCTCCCTCGTACGTACTACGTGCTTCAAGGACATGAGACCAAACCAGCCACTAAATTGCTGTCAGGTGGGAGAGAGCCGGAAGATCTTTTCACTCTCATTCTGACTGCGGAAAGTCGATTAAGGAAAACGTTTGGCTGAGCTCGTGTTCGACCTGAGCTGGCGAAGCGAGTGGCTTTGCTTCAGGGCAAATAAAAAAAAAAAAATCAGATTTGCGCTGTTCCGTCGTTCCATTAACTTTTGCGGATTCCGACAAACTTCAGGAAGAAGGAAGGCCGCAGAAGAAACCAAGAGAACCGGCTGAAAGCGTTCGGAGAGCAATGGGAGGGGAAGAATAACGGCAAATCACAACCGTAAAATAAAGGAACGCAGCAGCCGCCATCGAAGATTCGACACTGACTTCGTAATCAACAAACCCAAACGGATGAAACAAGAGAATCTTCACTTGATGTGAGGACCTTGCCTGCAGTTTGTGAATTGACAAGCTCACTGGGACCAAATAAGCTTTACCGAAAGGTTTGAATGATCTTTTTTTGCACTGATCAACGATTGATTCTGTTACGTTGTCGCGGACAGTTTTCTACGCTATTGACCTGCCTTTTTGTGTTGTGCTAATTGAACTAACAAATTAGTTTACATTTCTTCATAACTAAATAAACTTTAAATGCACGAACTGCCGAGCGACTTTGGTTTCTTCGTGTAAAGCCAGAGAGAAACAATCAGTGGTTCGGAGTCCTGTGGCTCAGTGGTTAGAGCACTCACTTTGCGAGCGAGAGACCTGAGTTCAATTCCAGGCAGAGGGTGAAACCTCGGGCAAGTTTCCTTACTCCACACAGAGCCTAATAACAATCCCTCCAAAACCAAAAACAATAATAAATTGGTCATTTTCAATCTATGACTGTTTGTGGGACATTGCTGTGCGCAATTGGCTGCCGCGTTCGCCCACAAATACAATCAATTCACTTTACAGTGTGTTCTGTGAAGCGCTTTGGGACGTCCTCCCGACGTGAAAAGCGCTAAATCAAATGCAAGGATTATTATTATTATTAATCAGACGGTCGTACCTCAGCATCCGGCAGACTGGAGAACCTTCTTCGTTCAAACGCTTCTTGCGAGCTTAAGATCTCCGCACTTCCTCAGCCTTCTCGTCTTGAGACTCCTTCTCAAAACAGACACCCCACTCCCCCACCCCAGTCTTCCCCCCCACCACCCCAGTCGGCCAACTATCCTCCAGAGAAGGAAAGGAAAAAAAAATGGCCGTTCGTGGCACACAGCCAATTCTCTGCCTTCTGGGCCGACACAGTCACTAGACTTTTAGCCGAGGCGAACTGAAGCTCCATCACCTCCAGTCACGAGCAGCTCCAGCTGGCAATCAATCAAATTAGACCCGTCCCATTCCCTGCCTTCTTCCTCCCCTGTTCCTCCACCCCCTCACTGATTGACAGCCCAACTCCAGCTGCTTGTGAGTGGCTGGAGTCCGCCGTCAATCAATCTTAGACCCCGCCCCGCATGGCTGAACGGATTAACCGGATTGTCGTACGAAATGCATATCACGGTTATACTTCTCACATAATCGAATGAATGCTTATGACAGGTGAGTACGGTTCACTGCAATGAGTTGATCAAACCATTACAGTGTCATTGTTGGAGCTCTTCCGATTGAACCCCAAAATCTCTGGTTCTTCATGGACTTCCATTCGTCGTTGGCCTTCAACCATTTGTGTGTGTACTGTCAGCCTTCATAAAGTGAACGCAGCCATGAGTCTTCGCAAAACTCTTTGGTCAGTTCAGCCAATCCAGAATTCTGGGGGTATTTACACCATAAAAGGGAGCAGACCAGCCAGACACTAGCGGCAAAGGTATCGTTTATGGAAACGGACACACAAGCGCTCCTTACACGTTAAAACCTACCACCCACCGTACACTTTCCGGGGTTTAATCAAATTTGACTGTTTACAGAGGGTTTCGCTAAATCATTCCTCGGAGGAATCAAATCCAAATCCCCAGGGGATCTGGCAACTACACGGGTTCAAACAGGACCTGGAAAAATGTGCCCACTCATAACCACACACTGAAACCACACGAGACCGGTTAACAGGTCAGCGAAAGACAAACTTGAGGGGTTAAAAAGGGAAGTAGACACACTGGGGAACCACAGAGTAATGTCAGCATATAGAAGAAATAGGGATATTAAAAATTGCTTAATGAGCAGTAGATTAGAGAAGCAAAATACTAAAGGCTGTGGGAACAGCCAATGGCCAATTTTACATATCAGAGAAACAGGAAATATATTAGGCACAAGGTTTGCAGGACACTTTAGCGCAATTAAAAATAGGGACAAATGAATAACTAGACATTTTACAGAACATGGGGAAGAATCCATGCAAATCATGGGCCGAGAATTTGACAGAAATTGGACAGTGTCACAGAGACAAGAGAGAGAGAGGATAAATAGATAAACAGATTACATACAGTTATACCATCCAGATTAAATGTCCTGTAAAGCAGACTGGGCTAGGAGGGGTTAATTACCCTAATTAATAAATTAGTACCCCTTATTTACTTACCCCTAATTAACCCTTACTCTAATTACCGTAATTACCCTACACCCATTTACCCTAACCTAACCCCAATTACCCTATTTACACTAAACCTAATTATCCTAACTGTAATTACCCTAATTATTAACCCTATTTACCCTAACCAAGCCTGGCAGACATTGTCTCTCTCACCGCGTGTGTGTGTGTGTGCGTGTGTGTGTGTGAGTGAGCGTAGGTTGTCAGATGTGTCCGCGCTCCAACAGCTTCCCATAGTGAGACACAGAGAAAGACTAATTCCTGATCAGCTGCAATCCCACAGCTCCCACAGTGGGTTACACAGAGATAAGAGGTACAGAGACCAGCCCCCAATCAGGAGATGTAGAGAGGTCTAGTTGGTACCCAGTTAGTAAGATTTAATAAGATGTCCTTGACCAACAAAGAACTCAAGGAAAGATAAAGACGTCCTAATCACATTGATGGATAGTCAAAAATGATCGTTAGTTTAGTGTCCTGCAAGAACCTGTTACCGAAGACCTTTAGATGGCCTTTGGTTAGGGATGAGATCATTCCACAGTGAAACCGAGGTCTGTAGTGGGCAAATATAGTGTATAAAAAAGGGGAGTTTCCAGCGATTCCTGGGAGCAGAACGGTCAGAGAATCTGATGTTATCCCTTGCGATCGCGTAGCCTGAGGACCCGGACTTTGTAATAAACTTTTGATTCCAATACTCTACGTTTCGAGTGTCGTTCAGCATCGAAGGCGCAAAGCCCTTCGGAGGGAAGCGGACGAGGTTGACGTGGGTGTGGGTGTGTGGGTGGATGTGTGGGGGGTGTGTACGTAGGTGAGTGTGGAGGTGTGAGTGTGCGTGTAGGCGTGAGCGTGTGCCAAAGCCAACAGGTGGCGTTTTTACTGGTTAAAATGGGCAGCCGATGGGTTAATTGATGCTCCGCTGTTTCCATGGTCACTGGCTGCATCCTCTTGACGATCAGATGGTACCTTTCCATAACCATGGAAACCCGAGTGGGGCACAACACTGATGTAACAGTCATTCCAGGGGCTCAAAGTGCTCGGCAGGGCTTACACTGACGTGTCGTACCTCTCGGGTGGGTTCTGTTGATCGTATCCCATTCACGTTCCCTATTGATTATTATTAGTATTGATCCCGAACAGAGGGGGGAGAGAGAGAGAGAGAGAGAGAGACATTAAACCGGGATCCTTCCGAGCGCTGTTAATGCGGGCTTCCAGTGCTATCAATTCCCCCTTTCCTTTTCCTTCATTAAATTAAATTAAAGTACCACAGCTTCCTTTACTGAGCCATTAGCTCCACTCAACTCCTTCCCCTTCGCTCAATTATCGGGCGGAAGCCACGGAAGCTTTTACACAGAAGATAGTAAAGAGTGATTTAGACACACACACACACACACACACCACACAATCTGTGTCTAAATTGGGGCACGAAACGGTCACAAATACTGGAGACTGCGCAATTTAGGGTCTTCGTGTTATTTGACAGCACGTCTTTATTTAATGATTTTCAAAGCAGCTGAAATCCAAAGGTTTTGTGGTCGCCTCATGCATTTCGGAGACAAGCCGACGATTAACAAAGCCAGTTTATTGATCGAGCGAAAGCTTTGAAACCAACACCGAACGCTGAACCTTAGCCAAAGTACCACAGCTTCCTTTACTGAGCCATTAGCTCCACTCAACTCCTTCCCCTTCACTCAATTATCGGGCGGAAGCCACGGAAGCTTTTACGCAGAAGATAATCAGCTTCTGGGCTCAGAGCCGAGGCCGTCGGCGTTGGGAATACCAGGGGAGAGGTT